TCCTACCTCAACTTATCCTCAGGATATTAGCACCAGCTACTCTCATCAGCCATCAGCTCAATATGATCAGTATGGGCAATATAATACGTCCCAGTTCTATAACAGCTCATCTACCTCCCAGCAGGGACAATTTGAATCTTCTAACCAGCAGCAGTTGGAAGGGTCCGGTCAGTCTTATGGGTACAAGGTTAGAGAAGATAACACTTCAGTGAGCAGGAACTATTCTTATGAAGGAACTAGTACAGGAGGACCATCAGGACAAGAACAGACTGGTGAGCAGTACAGCAGAGCCAGTAACTATGAATACAGTAATAATAATAATGATGATGGAACTCGGTACAATTATTATCAACAACAAGTTGGAGGAGGAGAAAATCAATGGATCAATACACAAGAAGGAGTGGGTGGAGCCTATCACTATGGTTACATGCCGACTCAACCTTACTATTATTATCAACCTTACTATTACCAGACCACTCCAACCAATTATTCGGCCACACCCACCAATTATTCGACCACACCCACTAATTACTCAGCCCCACCCACTAATTACCAGTCTAACCCAATTTCTTACGAAGCCACACCCACTTCCGCTGCCGTTTCTCAATCTACTACATCATGGAATCCTGTTGCTTGGCAACCAGCATCTCAAGCCACACCCACTAGAGGTGGTGAATGGCCACAGTGGTCTGGACACAGGTTCTCAATGAGAGGAAGGGGGCGTGGCTCCAGGGGGAGGGGCTCCAGTGGTAGGGGAGGTGTGTCTAGTGATAAACCATCAAGATGGGACACACCCACTAATAATAAAGGTGATAATTAATGATCCGTTATTAATTAATTATAATCAGTAGGTGATAATTATTCGAGTGTTCCACCACCTAATTCACTGACCACACCAAGCCCAGCCACACCCACTGAATCAATTAAAAAGACAGAGTAAGCACTTAGTCATTAATAATTGTAACTGATTTATTATTAATAGTGATGCCAATACACCTGCTAAGGACTGGCCTCCTGGACTCCAGTAAGTATTGCTAATGGAATGGAGAATCGTCTCGCAGTCATTTTGTAATTTTAAAAGTTTGTAAAAAATTCAAACTTTATTTAATTGAGCCCAAACTTTCTACACAGCTTAAGAACATTGTTGTGTATCATTTTTTTATTTTTGGCGAAATTTGGCCAAAATCTTTGACCCGATTTTGGAGCAAATTATTTATAAAAAATATGAATTTGATTGGAATCAGCAAACTTTTTATACAACAAAAGTACATGTACGTGCATAAGAATTTGTCTCTTTTCCATTTTCAGAGAGTACATGGTTCGTTCTTTTGAGTCTTGTTCTTCGGAGGAAGAGAAGTCTCAAGTTGAAAAGTATCTTCAAATTGAAATTAATCAAATGTTTCGTGACAAACGTGTCTGGACAGTTGATTGGAGCTCTGAACCACTCCCACTGTATGATACTGTGTATTTAATGAACATGAAGTACTTTTTGTGTTTTAGAGACAAATTGAAACGTCAGGCACAGAAAAGAAAATCACGCTGGGACACGCCCTCTCCCTTGAGTGTGGCCACACCCTCACCTCCTAATGTGACCACACCCTCCACAACCAGCAAAAGAGGAAAGAAAGGAAAGAGAGGGAGAGGAGGAAGGTAAGTAATTAGTATTAATTAATTACTGAATGTTAATTGAATATTAATTGATCTTAGGTTCTCGGCTGATCGTTCTATTCCCCCAGACCTTTCAGAAGAGGACAAAGTTAAAGTGGGCCAGAGGGCGGCCAGGTTTGCTAAAGGATCCGAAGGCAATAAAAAATTTAAAGCAAAACTCTCGATAGAAGAGCTCTTAAAGACAGTGGTGGGTGTGGTCAATGTTAATTAATTAATTGTTATATAAATAGAGTGTATCAGGTGAGGAATGTGACTGGGAGTCCTTTTGTATTGAAGGGACTAGCACTAACCTTGAGAAGCAGTACCTGAGGCTGACCTCAGTGAGTGTCTGTATCCATTATTGATATTCGTTATTGTGATCCTTAGGCTCCCGATCCTCGAACAATAAGACCTCAGGCCATACTGTCTCAGTCTCTGTCTCTTGTACTTGAGAAGAATGAACAAGGAAGGGACTACAGATACATATGCGAACAGTTCAAGTCTATAAGACAAGATCTTACTGTTAGTTAATGGATATGACCTCTGATTTATTTATTGGTTCATTTATAGATACAAGGCATTAGGAATCAGTTCACTGTTCAGGTGTATGAATCACATGGAAGAATAGCATTAAAAAATGTCAGTTATACCACCTTAATGAATAATGATAATAATAATGACAGGGTGATTGGAGTGAGTTTAATCAGTGTCAAAGTCAGTTAAATTCCTTATATGGAGAAGGTTTGTTTGGTTCGAAAGCAGAGTTCTTAGCTTATAAGATACTCTATCATATGATGACTAGCGAAACTGCTGGTAAATCTACATTACAGCTAAAACTACATGTACCTCACTCTCTTTTAGAGTTTGTTGGTCTGTTTTGTGACATTACAAGAGATCTTGCTGCTGAACCAGCTGTTAAACATGCCCTGAATATGCTGAGGGCCTGGTCTACTGGGAATTACTATAGGTTCTTCCGGCTGTACCGCACTCTACCTAATCAAGGAAGATACCTCGTTGATCTGTTTATAGAAAGAGAGAGGAAGTCTGCCTTAAGAATAATGTCTAAAGCGTAAGTTAGCAATGCAGCCAATGCTGTGTGAGAGGTGCGGACTGTAGGGTGGGCCTCGACCATATGTGACTACTGGATGGAGGACTGTTAACTATTGAGTGCAATGATTAGTATTCATTACTGGATTGATGGATTATTAAACCACATATAGAGAAGAGACAGTTTCCTATTATCCAAATGATGAGTACATACATACAGTATATATACTCTTGAACTTTGTTTATCTGCTAGTAATGATGTCATCAATAATGGATTCTCTCAATCAATGACAGTACATGGATTGACTCAAGTTACTAAGTTGTATCTATCATTATGAAGTCTCACTCATTTGAAGTCTCTTCCTCCTGGTCAAACGACTTCATCTCTCACACCAGCCTCCATGGAGCTCTTTTGCTTTTCTAATTAAAATAGTTTTATTTATAATAATTCTATTCATTTTATATTTGTTTTTTTTTGTTTCTTTCTAACAGATATCGCCCTACACTTTCCATAGACTACATATCGTCAATTCTTTCATTTTCAAGTCTAGAAGAATGTAGAAAGTTCCTGAGAGAGTCTTGTGGTGCAGTGTTGGATCCTGGATCACTCTCCATTGACTGTAGACTAACCTTTAATAAATTAGCTGCAAAAAGCTAGTATTAATAATAATTATTTATTTATTTATTATCTCCAGAAATGGCAAATGAACTCTCCTTTTATTATGTATAATAATATTTTTGGTTTTTTCAAATTGGTAATTTCATTTTGTTCACACTAACCTAGCTGAGCAAGTGAGCATAGCTAACACAAAGAGTAGATAATAATTATTATACTAACACCCACACAATCACTGAGCAGCAGCTGTGAATCCTGTGATGAAGGTATTGTCTTCATTTTTGAATTCTCTCCATCTTGATCCCAGCTACTGCTTGCTCAGTGTATATGGAGTCACTCTTGTTCTTCACTACTATAGATCAATGGATATAAGAACAGACATGACCATGGATGGTAGGCTATTCTTTATTTATTTATTGGATCTATTATTATTATTCTTAGATGTGCAGTTTGAAGTATTTCTGAAGAGTGTTACTGACCTCAGTAGTGAGAAGGTATACAGAGTCTTTGATATGTTGGATGTTGATTGTTCTGGAGTCATTGATTTTGACGGATTCTATCTCTTAGTTTGTATTCTAGTTTCAATCAAAGTACACTGATAGTGTGTAGTCTGCAGCTGTAGCCATTTTGATATTTCAATAGGATGGTATGGAAAAGCAGTTCATATCATGTCATTCAAGAACATTGTTTGATCTGCTGGACAGAGACGCCGATGGAAATATATCAGTAAAAGAATTTGAAAGATTTGGATTCCTATTTAACCTAACGGTGAGACTTATTGTACTCTCTCCCTCTGTTGTAACTTGTAAGTATCATCATATTATTGACATTTCATGTAGAAAGGGGCTATCAAAGAAATATTTAAAGAATTTGATGTATCTGGAGATGAGATATTGGATTACAATGAATTTCAAATGTTTATAATGGCCTGTGTGGACAAACAGAAAGAGATTGAAGCTCAAAGGAGTCATATCAAGGAATGGCTTCAAATGACACTTTGCACATTGCTATAGACTCATTGCAGTATGGTAACAGACATATAAACTAATTACATCATTGATTTATTGATCTTTCATTTTGTGACAGAGTTTCAGTTTCAGTTCCACTAAGTAAAGACTGAGACTCATAACTTGATACCTCGTTCCAAGTATGAGACAAATGAAAACTAAAGCTAAATATTGCAACAACAAAATTATTACAAAACTAACCTTTTAAATGAAATTATGATAAATCTAATTAAATTCCAAACTGGATCCCACCCACTCCAGTGATTAACAACTGCTACACAAATGAACGAAGCAACCACTAGCAACGAACCAATAATGAATCCAGGTGATAATGACGCCTGTAATTAATAAATAATAATAATAATGTTTAATTACTGGCTACCTCTCCAGTGATGATACTGTACGTGATACTTAGAGGTGTCACTAAGGACAAACTCAATGTGCCAACTAAGGACGAGGTTAAAAGACATCCCCTATATTAGTTATAAAAGTAATGATAATAATAATAATAATAATAATAATGATTACCATAGCCACAGCAGTTCAGATAGTACAGTACCAATAAATCCATTAATCAACAATAGTGTCCATATCATGTTGTTTGGTGGTAACTCAAACTCCTCCCACTTAATAAAATCCCAAAATGCCACTAGAGGCGTTATCACAATTAACACAATGACACCAACAAAACCTAACAACAAAATAATAACAATAATAACATAAAAAGTGTTATACCAAAGAACATTGGTATTTCAAGGCTTTCCTCATTAGGTACAACTTTACTTAAGAGAACCAAGTACACTGCATATCTGTAATGCAGATAATTATATAATTATTAGTGGGTGTGGCTCACAATACAGCTCCGCCCACTGCAAATAGAGACCCATAAGCCGAAGAATTCTTTTTATCCTCATCAAGTGAATGGGCCAATCCGACCAATATAGCTCCACCAACACTAATTAAAATAATAAGAATTGTTATAAGTATGAACAAGACCTTGTCAATATTATTATCAGTTTTGTTAAAGTGAATTTATCCTTTGGACCAACTTTTGGAGGAATAGCAGCTAATATAAGTACCAACACTCCTAATTATAAATTGTCATATTAATAAAAAATAAATAAATTAATTTACCTGATATACTTGACAGTGTATTGACAACAGCAACACTTTGATGATCTAATGCTATCCCATAAAAATAATTAGCAAAAAACCACTAATAATAATAATAATAATAACAATAATTATTTATAAAATACAACTCGTTAATTACCAATAATCCAAAAGGTATTGATAGTGTTATAACTTGTGTCACATTTAAAATTAATTTATCATTTTTAACTTTATATTCTGAAATACTAGGAACATGCTTTACTTCTACAGTTTGGCTGAACCTAATGAAACAATAACATTATAATATTAATAACAAGAAACACTATTACCTGACCAGTTTCTTCCTTCTAATAAAAGATTGAGATGAAGTGACATTAAGTGCAGGGGCCATTCCTTCTTGTTGAATGCTTCTTGATGGAGAATGAGATAAGGACAATGGAATGGAGGGCTCTGCTCTACCATCTTCAACACAGTTGTCTCCTGTATGACCATTGTCTGAAGATCTCAGTGGCTTGTATATAGAAGGACCCTGCAATCATAAATAACAGCAACAACAACAACAACAACAACAACAACAACAACAACAATAATAATAATAATAATAATAATAATAATACTTACAAGTAATGATTGTGCATCAGTTACATTAGCAGAAGTAATGGAGGATTCACTGCTAATGACTGCACCACTGTCATCAAACTATTATAAATAAGGACAGAGACACACTCAATGATTATTATTTAAAACAGTAGATATACTGATCCCAAGTCTATACTACCTTGTCTTTCTGTTCGTCATCAAATACATCATCATCATCATCATCAGCTACTGGTCCTTCACTAGCAATACTGTCTTCAACTTCTTGTCTTCTGTCACAAAATCTACAACAAGAACAACAGCAAAGCCTTTGCCATGGACGCCAGAAAAGAAACGGTAGTAGATAAGTAATGAAAAGAATAGTCTTGAAATACACTGTAAAGAATGGCTTGTCATAAGATTGCTGATGAAATAGATACTAAACAAAAATAAATAAATAAATAAATAAATAAATAAACTGACCCTAGTTAGTCCAGCAGATCCAACCCAAATTAAATCAACAATTATCAGTAGAAACACTCCAAATATTTCTTTTTTATTTATTCTTCTCCTTTTAGAGGTCACTCTCTTCTTTCCCCTCCTGCCCTCCATTGATGAAGAGGAATGGCTCAGGACAGCTCCACTGAAGTCACTGGGCTCCATTACCACCAGACAAAGCACAGACCAATAGAATAGACTCAGGGCCACCAGTTTAAGAATATATGGACTGTGTCTCCTGCAGCACTTGGAGCCACACCTCTATTTTGCATACTAAACCACACCCTCCTGCAAAATGTCATTCTATAAAAGATTATTTGTTCCTCGAGGAGTAGCCTGTAGGTTCTATGGCCTGGTCACTCGTAATTGGGGTGAGAAATTATAATAAATATTAATGATGTTTTGTTATTTATGTTCAGAAAGAAAAAGGTTTTATAAACAAGCCACAGTGTATCAAACTGAAGGTATGTCATATATATACACGTATACTGCACAACATATGTTTTTATCTTGTGTAAAAAGTTTTAGCCGATTCCAATTAAGATTGGATTTTTAAATGAATTTTTGAAGTTGCTTTGAAATGGAATAAAGGTACCTGTACCTCGACCTGTACTAAGTACAGGGATTTTAGCCAAATTTCGCTAAAAATGAAAAATAGAGAATTCTTCATTTTATGATTTTTTGATGCACATACATGTACTTATGTTGCATAGAAAGTTTGATTAAAATTGAATTTTAAAATTAATTTGTAAAGTTGCTCCAAAAATGATCTGGTACTAAATATAGTACATGGTTTTGGCCAAATTTTGAAGTTACTCAACCCACATTATTATTACAAAGGTTAACTTTTATCTTTATTTTTACAGGTGGTTGGTTTGGAGTTAAATTAGATCATCGTAATTTAAGAACTCCACTACGTAGAGTATTCAGTGTTCCTAGTGAAAGCTTAGCTATTGCTGTTTGTCATGAGTGGAAGTCACAGACTAAATTTATACAGCCATCTTTAATGCATTTGGTAAGTGGCTCTTAAGAGAATTAATCATTTTCTTTCCAGACAGCTCTTTCAAATACTGTCATTGACAGATCTGATAATTTAAACAAAACTGATGAATTGTTAGCATATCTCTCCACTGACACCATTTGGTAAAGTCCTGTTGTCAATAGTAGCTATTAGTTATGTATTGAATAGCTATAGAGTAGTGGAACCATTAGATCTTGTTGAACTACAAGAGAAGGAATGGGATCCAGTTATAAAATGGTTCAATGAAAGGTACTGATTACACTTTACTACATTCTAATCATTCCTTTAAAGGTATAATTGTAACATTGAACCTACCTCCAATCTAAATGTACTATCAGTGACTAAAGAACTCAAACTGTCCATTTCTGAATTTATTCATAGTTTAGGTCTATGGGGTACCAGAGGTAAGTATTTCAATATAAGATTGTTATTTTATCATTTTTGTTTCAAAGGATTTTCATTTGCTCTTGAGTCTACTAAGAGCTTAATATTAACTTGTGCTCTGTTTGATGGTCAGTTTGATTCTCAAACAATATCAGATCTATCTAGACTTGAAGTGAGACACCAGGTCAGTGCTAGTAATAATTGTTACTTGTTGTATGGTCAATGTATCGTCTGTGCTAGAGGCTACTGTGTATTGTTATGATGTCCTCATTATTCATTAGATCAGTAAATGGGGCTCCGTTGAATGGCAGCATGAAATTGAAGCTCAAGATTTGCTAAGTCGTTTGTCTGCTTCTGTATTATTCCATGACTTGACTAAAGATTGATAATACATATATTAAGTATCATCGTGTAGTAAATAATTATAAAGAACACTTAAAGTCAAACCTGTCCATTCCAGGCACCTTGGGACCCAATAGTACTGTCCTGATTATGAACCTGTCCTTATTTCATGGGCTCATTAACACGTTTCATTATCAAAAGTGGATAATGTATTTGAGTTTGACTGATTACTTTTTGAGATAATTCATTTTTAGCGAGATTGATGCGTGGGTGTTATAGTAAACTTGTTGATGCATGCATCTCATCCTCAGCTGTTTACTGCTGATTAGGTAGTGTCTCGCTGCTGAGCTCAGCAACTACTACAAAAGGACTCTCTCTCCTTCCCCGGGCCTGTTACACTACCAATGGCTTGCTGTTGTATAGAAGAAGGCTCGCTGTCCTCAGGGCTACAAGAGACACTCTCCTCCTTACCAAAGATAGGCTGGTACTACGGGAACATTACCGTACCCGAGGCCGAGAGGATTCTAAAAGATGAACCAAATGGATCCTTTATAGTGAGGGATACCCCACCATCAAATCAGAAAGGTGCCTCCAGTGACCTATTCACAATAACTTTCAAACTGAGAGGAAGATGTGGCAGTATCAGAGTAGACTATTCAAAAGGTTACTTCACTCTCTCTCTCTCTGACCCTGGGCTACCTCTCTTCAGGACCATGATGGATTTAGTTGGATATTGTACCAATCGTTCTGCAGTACAGAAGAAACCGGTGTGTGTACTAACAGGACACGAGGAGGAGACACAAACTCACATATATCTCTATCTTACCAAACCAGTCAACAGGCACACTAAAGTTCACAGCTTACAGCATTCTTGTAGACAGGCTCTCCACAGTTACCTTACGCTAGACAAGATGAGTTCCCTCCCTTTACCAAAGTACCTCCTGGAGGGGTACATGATACAGAACCCACTCTATGACCCAGAACTATACCCTCTTGACACTGACGATGATTCTAAATCAGAAATATCAACCAACAGCAGCAGCAGTAGTACAGTTAATACAGACAACGAGTTGGACACAGAGAGATGAAGGGACACCATTGGTTCCCCAGGCACTGCATTAACAAACATTCACACCTTCTTTCTCACTTCTGATCCATATTGGATTCATGCACCAGCTTTATGTCTGTTTGTCATATCACTTTTAATTGGATTCTTTGAACTGATTAATTATTATAAGAACATGAACAACATCTGTAGCAAAATCACTCACATTTTGTATTAGATACACTTTACTATCTTTATAGTTTTTATGATGTTTTAAAAAACTATGTGAAACTTGAACTAGTTTTAATGAGGATAGTATTGTCACATAAAGATTATAAGAATGTGCCATAAGCACACACACAGAGTCATGGTCACACTACACTGAGGGATACAGATAAGATTATGATAACATTCTGTAGAAGCCAGATACATTAATAAGTGTACATGGCCCATACTATCCCATTTCATAAAGAATTATTTTTATCTCGTCCATTAGTTTCTAATGCCCTGATGGATTCATTATCAACTATTAATGCCATCATACAGCGTTGTATGTGCAATAGCTTTTGGCTGCCATAGCTTACAACAAAAGGATCAGTCAAAACATATTAAATACCATGTCATGTGTATCTGCTGAAGGCTGTGCTACAGGTGCTCTGGTGTATCTTTGTTAGGGATGAGGGGCCTGCCCGGCTGAGCTCTTAGAGATTAGATTGACGATTAACTTTGAATATGATCATCTTCATGCATGAGACATCAGCTGACTAGCTATCACCAGCTGTAACATGTACAAATATTTAGAAGAGGAACACCAACATGATATGATTAGGATATAGGAGCTAACGCTGCATACATGCATCTTAATACATGGTGTGTGTGTTTTGGACATAACAGTTGTCACAGGGCTGGTATGATAAACTTTCAAGTCACAACACAGTAGGAGATACATGAAATATGTGAAGCAGTTGACTGAGCACATGTAATAATTAAGTTAATCTGATATCTTTTAATGTTAGTAGAATTGATATAGCTACAATACATGAGGAAAAGAGAGAGAATTCAATAAAAAGAGAATTGTGAATTGGTTTAAGTACAAGAAAGAAAGAAGGAGATAGAGATTATGATGAAGATGATTCGGAACAAAACTCTAACAAAAGTCTTTTCAAATGAGCAGGTAATGGTAACGTCTCTATGTGTCCTTGTGTTCTACAAGACCGAACTATCGATATACAGCAGAGGTGCTGCAGAGGAAGTACCTCCTTTAGAATCGGGTGCTTTAAAGTGACTCTAACTTCTCCGTAACCAGGAACATCAACATAAAAGAACCTGTGGCTGTCTGATAAATAATAATAAATGAGGTCGACCACCGAATGGAATGAGGGACAGTCAGAAGTAGACGAATCTAATTTGAAGAGGCCCCTACTGAAGTGGACCCTAACACTAATGACCATTCTGTGAGCTTTGAGAGAGAGAGTGAACAGGTGACAAGCGTCGCTGCTGTCTCTAAGGATGAACGACCCATCACTTGCCGTATGTAGAATGCTGTCAGCTTCTTCGCTACTCAATTCTCCCCAGTACCACCCACAGAGCTTTAAATGATGTAATATGTCATGTAAACTTACCTAATAATAACAATATAATAATGACGAGAGCAATATTAATGATACGATACTCACTCTGTGGGCAAATGGGGACCTTCCGGAGACTTTAGAGGTCCTTTTTCTCTTGACTACATCAGCAGTTATATAATTCTTTATTTCCTCCTCCTCCTCCTCTCTCTCTGGTTGGTTTAACATTTGATTCAAGTATTGGGCTGGTATTAGAGTCTGTCCAGCAATCATTTACAACAACAGACTCTCCCTCCTTCTGTCCTATATCCTTAAAAGTGTCTCCACATTATAACACAAGAGGTCTCTGATAGCCCTTCCAAATGGCACAGTTGTATTTCAATTTTTCTACCACTCCCTCCTGTTATTTAGAATACTGTATCTGTATTAGATTATATACGGTATTTGTGTGGGTGTTGGTAATGAAGTTGTTTCTGATTCTTAAAGTTACTTTCCTCCTCCTGTCCTTAGCTGGACTTTACAAGGTGTACAAGAGATGGAAATTGAGACAATCTCTCTCTTCTCTGAGTGGGAAAGTTGTACTAATCACAGGTGCCAGCAGTGGACTGGGAGAAGGTAACTATTATTAGTGAATAATGATTATATATTGTTCATTGTAGCACTTGCTTTCTTACTCCATTCTGTTGGTGCTAAACTGATTCTTGCTGGACGTAATGTACACAAACTGAAACAAATTCAATTCACTTTAGACACGGACACGCACACTCAAGTATGTGAACATTAATATCAATGGAGGACTGATGACGATTGGACTTTAGGTTAAAGGTTTAATCAAGAAATACTCCCCAGCCATTTTGGAAATAGATTTAACTGAGAGTCACGCATTGTCAGGTCATGGACAGAATGCAATTAAAATATTTGGAAGGATAGATATACTAGTTAACAATGCAGGTACCTAGTGTCTATATTGTATTAAAAATGAATGATAGAGTTTTTGCAGGAGTTAGTTCCAGGGGTAGTGTCATTGATACTGACATCAGAGTAGACAGAACTATCATGGAAACTAATTATTTTGGATCAATACAGTTAACTAAAAGTATTTATAAAATGGATTTTATTGATTTTTGTGTCTCCTAGTGTTGCTGCCATACATGTTGGAAGAAGGAGGCGGTCACATAGTAGTCATTAGCAGTTTACAAGGAAAACTTGGACTACCTTATAGATCTTCATGTAAGTATCCAAGGTGCTCCAAAATTGGGCCAATAACCATGTATTTGTCAAAAATGAAAAATAGAAATTTCTCAAACTTTATAATTGTTTTTAATACTTATATACATGTCCTTATGCTGTGTAGAAAGTTTGAGCTGATTCCGACTTCAATTTTTCAAGTTTTTTTTCCAAAGAATGGGTCCAAAATCATCCCAGTTTTATTGATGTCCTTGTGCTGATTTTTGAAGTTGCTCCACTATTTGGTCAGAAGCTGTTTTATGTTATTTGTCATCATTCTTTTAGACTCTGCATCAAAGCATGCATTACACGGATATTATGATTCCTTGAGAGCTGAGCTATCTCCAAGAGGTATAAGTGTCACAATACTTTGTTTTGGGTACATTAATACAAGACTGTCTGTAAATGCACTCACTGCTGATGGCACATCTCATGGTGGTGAGGACTCTAATGCTAGTATTGCCATTGTTATACTTTATTTCAGTTTTAGATGCAACAACTAGTAATGGATTGTCAGCAGAGAGAGCTGCTCAGTGTGTGCTGGAAGCAATCGCTCTAAAGGAAAGAGAGAGGATTGTTGCTTCTCCAATACATCATGTAGCTGTTTATTTAAAGCTACTCTCTCCTTCCCTCCTCGATTGGGCTCTCAGAAAGAGATCAAAATCTAACTAGCCCCTAATTATCATTATTATTATTAATGAAATAAATGTGTCCTAATTGCATGGTGTAAAGAATATTAATTAGTATATTATTTTAAAGTCCTTGTAAAGTCTCCAGGCAATATAAGCTCCTACAGTTGCTGCAAGGAGGCTGTGTAATACTTTCCTGTATATGTCATTTCTCTTTACTAGTACAACTGGAGTAGTAGTCGTTAGCTCTCCACTTGGTACATTCATTAATTCCTGACCGTACCAATCCACCTGGTACTTACAACACGGATCAAACTGCCACGAGAGGTTATAGACAAGAGCAGATCCTACTCCATACAAACCAACTGGTACAATGAAGTACATATTATAAGCTTTTGGCAAAAGTGGAATGAACAGAAATGATGAGAGGCAAGACAGTACTGATGACTTGTGTAGAAAGTTACCAGTTTTAATCCAACGAATGACCTCATCTCCTAAGTAACGTGGCTCAATAACAATCAGGTCATAGTGTCTCTCCAAAGCTACTTCTAGTTCTCTCTCAAATTTATCCTTCTTTTCTCGAGGTTTATCTGTAGGTAGCCCACCTCCTTTGTGTAGTATGTACCAGGACTTTCTCTCAGGGACAGTTTTACCAGACCTTGTATCAGTAGACATCTACTACTACAGCTCTTCCTAGTTTCCTCCTGTTAGCTTAAGTTGATAAAAGGAATAGTTAATTAAACCAGACCAGGGCCACTCCCTTAAAGTATCACTGCACTGCTGCCACTGCATGGTGCATGTAAGTCCATAGAATAGTTGGACAATGGCTGAAGGTAAGGATAGTCTCTCTGAGGAGACCCTACCAATGGAAACTGAAGACATTTTAACTGAAGAATATTCTGCCACATGCACAGTAGGTGAGTGGGAAGAACTTATGATGTCATACTCTAATGATTGTTGATAGAGAGTCCGGGGCAGATTATGTATCCAGGTGCTGATGTTCGTTTGTCTCCAGCTGCCGGGAGTAGATCATGTTCACCTCAAGTCTCACCTGCGGTCTCACCTACGACCAATGTAACTAATAATTAGAGTGGGTGTGGTTTTTATAATCATACGTATATATACAGCAGGCATTCACTGGAGAGAGTGAAGTTGATCCTTGTAAAAGTAATGGGCTTATTAAACTGACAGTACCCAAAGTATCTCAACTTGAGGAAACTTACCTCAGTGATCCTGTCTACATTAGAGAGTTGCCATGGTAACTGTAGTGTAATTGTGTTACTAGATTCAAACAATGTCAGACATTGTGTCTGAACATTGTTTTATTTGATCTGTCATTTTACGAAACAGTCAGACAGGGTTTTTCACAGGATTTTGGCATAGTCCTCGTGCAACCTCTTGTCCTGGTACTAGAGTATATTGTAGTGCTTGTCAACTTTGCGTGCTTTGTGGGAAACCCTGTGGTAGGACATGTTAAATACACAGAATTTGATTACTTTTATTTCCAGCTCTGTGTTACTAGTAATTGTTCAATATAGGAGACTCATGGTAATGCCAAAGAATGCTAGACAAGATGGCGGACAGGAGAGTAAGTCACTTGGAGTGTTTGTACAGTGTGACCCTGAAACCAACGACACACCGTTAGTGTAACCATGGTTATTAATTATTTGATTAATTAATTACGCAGTGGGTGGAGCGTGTATGCCTATGCCAGGATTAGTTTAATCAATCAAACTGATTCTGATGAGAAGCACACCAGAGGTACTATAATGTTCATTAACATTATTATTGACAATAATATTTGTGTAGAAATATCTCATTGGTTTTCAGCAAAGGAAAATGATTGGGGCTATGCCAGCTTCTTACCTTGGAAGGTACTACACGTACATGTACATGTACATGACTACGTGTGTATAGGATATACTTTATGATGAGAAAGGGTTTGTTAAAGATGACAGAATTATATTAGAAGCAAGGGTATCTGCTGATGCTCCTCATGGTATCAAGTAATTAACAATTATTATTTATTAAAATTAATTACCTACCATGCAGCTGGGATTCTAAGAAGCACACTGGATTTGTTGGTTTAAAAAACCAAGGGGCAACATGCTACATGAATTCGTTACTCCAGACATTATTTTGCACTTTTAAATTGAGAAAAGTAATTTCTTGACCTCCTGTACTGCCCCCTCGTTGGTTTGGCCCTTTTGAATAGATTGCATGCCCCCTGGAGATTATTTGATATTCATTTGCCCCCTCCCCCCTCAGGCAGTTTATCAGATGCCAACTGAAAATGACGACAGTTCAAGAAGTGTTGCTTTTGCTCTTCAAAGACTGTTCTATGACTTACAGTACAGGCAAGTATCTATTTAATTATTTATTTATTTATTTATTTTATTAGTGATAAAGTGGTTGGTACAAAGAAGCTTACAAAATCATTTGGGTATATTAATTGATTTATTAATCAAATATTTATTTATTTATTAGGTGGGACTCAATCGATACTTTTATGCAGCATGATATACAAGAACTGAGTCGAGTGGTATGTATCAATTGATTAACTAATTAACCACACCTCCTTCAGTTGTTGGATAATATGGTGAATAAAATGAAAGGTACTTCAGTTCAGGATTGCATACCGTCACTGCTTGAAGGGAAAATGGAGGTTGGAATTATCTAATATTAATTTTATTATTATTATTTTAGACATTGATTTCATGTACAGACATTGAATATGAATCAAGAAGGTATCATTAATTAATTAATTAATTAATTAATTGATGTTTATTCTTAGGGAAGAGTCATTCTTTGACTTACAATTAAATGTAAAAGGAAAGAAGAATGGTATGATTACACCTACCCACCCGCTTCACTTGTACACTCTATAACACGTCCATTCCTTCCACTAGTTTATGAGTCAATCAAAGACTATACTTCTCCTGAGGTTTTAGACGGTGATAATAAATACTGTGCAGGTTCCCACGGAATGCAGGTAGGCGTGGTCTAATGGTTGTGGCCTTATTAAACACATATCAGAAAGCAGTTCGTAAGGTTTTGTTTGTAAAGTTCCCACCAGTTCTTCACCTTCAACTTATGAGGTTTCAATATGACATGTACAGCGAAGGACATTCTAAAATTAACGACAGGTGCTCATTAATTAGAATATTCTAATATTCCTTTATTGTAGGTATGAGTTTCCCGAACACTTGGACCTCAATGAGTACCTGAAGGCTCCCGAAGGATCTCCTGCCCATTACACACTGCATGCAGTACTGGTTCACAGTGGGGATAACTTTGGCGGACATTACGTTGCATACATTAATCCTCACGGTGATGGAAAGGTAATGTGTTGTTATTTATGAATATCTTATTGTTGGTTCTTGCTAGTGGTTAAAATTTGATGATGAAGTTGTTTCAAGGTGCTCAGCCAAAGAAGCTATAGACAGCAATTTCGGTGGACATGATGTAATGGCATAATGAGATATAGGCTAATGTCTCTCTTCTTTAGGATAACTTTGTTATTAGGAACTGTACCAATGCTTATATGCTCTGTTATATTAGAGACAACGAGATTGGTAAGTATTTCGAGTGTATGACATATACTTTGTGTATTGTCGTGTATTATCTACAGGTAAAGTATTGGAGGAAGTGACTGATAATGACATACCATTGTCTTTGGTTAAAAGAATAAAAGATGAAAAGTATAAATATTAAATAATTAACGATAAACAAAGTAATAATGGCATCATCAGATTGGTGGAGACTTTGAAGAGGAAGGAGAGAAGCGAGGCTCACTATTACATGTCTGTTGAGATTTTGACTGATGATGATTTTCAACATCATCACAAATCTGAACTTTATGACAATGAAGAAATTAAAGGGAGGTTAGACCTCAGGGGGCCCCCTTGCACATATGCTATTGTTATTATTGTATCTTTTGTTAAGATTTTTTAAGATTTTACGAGCTTTACCATTTGAAGTTCTCCACACTCATGTAGCAATAACGATGGTATAATTATGAATTAATTTATTAATTAATAATGGTCTGTGTATGTGTTAGGGGTATCATAAATCTCAGTTGCGGCTGTGGCCTTTTGAAACTCGTAATAACAGAACATGTCGTCCCAGTTCAAACGAGTCCCCCCAAACTACAGTCAGTGATTAGTCCCCTTTGTTGCGTTAGTGTGTTCTTTAAACTGTAGATATTTGAAGTTGCTGAATCTAAAAATGTCATTGCAATGTATGCAGAACTTGTAACACCTGGTTAGTGTCCTAATGCACGCCCTAGTACTTTTGTTGAGTGCTGATTCTGGTCAGTACATGAACTGTACAATACCACGTACCCTGTGTCAGTGTGGTCACATCACTGAATAATGCACTCCATAGCATGTGCAGTACATGCGTCCAGTGTGCTCTAGTAACAATTGTTTCCTTTTCTGCTATAGATTGCAAAGAATTGGCTCCATTTGATTTTCAATGTAAGCCACAACAGGTTGTCAATATTATTTTAGTGTTATTTGTAGCTCAAGTTTTACTTTTTATAAAATATTATGATCCTTTTACAAAGACTCTTACTTTTGTTGGTCATGTTACTGAAGAAATATCATTAAAATTTGGTAATTAAAGAATATTTTTTGACATGATTTCTATTTAAATTGTTTAGAGACTTTATTTCCACTCTTTTGTTCAATGGCTAATCTTCCTGAATCAACACCACTTAGAATTTATGAAGTATTTAAATGATTCATGATGCTCATTACTGCTTGTATTATAAGGAAGTGAGTCAGAACAGGATTGAAGATTTAAACCCAATGGCTCCAATCAGCCAGGTATGTGTCTGTATACTTTTGTGAATGTAATGAATGATTCCTTTGAAGATTGAAGAGGTTAAAGATGGGGATATTATTTGCTTTCAAAGGTCAGTTTGTTTGTCTTTTTGTTTATTTGTTTTGTGTATCTCAGAGCTGATATTTCATTAAATTCACTCGAGCTCCCTCTGGCTCCAATGTATTACAAGTAAGTGAGAATTTCACCGATTTATTGTTCATTAATTACAGGGAGCTGTTCAACAGGATCGACGTTAGTTTTTATGATAAGAATATAGCCAGTGATCCTGGTTTCACACTGACGCTAAATCAAAAAATGAGTTATTTACAAGTAGGATAGATATACCTTTATGTATATTCTAATTATTGCTCACACTAGATGTCTTCAGCTGTGGCTGCACATTTGCAAATTGATCCATTTTACATTCAATACTTCAGGCCTAACATGTACACTTGTAATAATAATGATACATGCTAGTCATTGTTTCTGTTTCTTAGTCACAGACAGCTGTCAGATCAGGCGATTAGATGTAAGAATGAAGGAACCCTCAGGGACTTTGTCACCAAAGGAAGGACTGACAATAACTACTACCTCTTTTACCAGCGGGTAAAGTCTCATCATTGTTATCATTATCATTGTTATTATTAATTATTAGTTGTCAATACCAATTGATCAATTTGAGACTAAGAAATCTTTTAAGTGTATATTTGTAAATCACAAATTAAAGGAAGAAGTAAAATAAATTGTAAATAATTAAATAAATGATCCTCTTGTAGAGAGAAATTACAGTTTATGTTGACAAAAATGGAATTGTTGATGATTTACTCGAAGTGGCTCTGTTAGAGGTGACATGATGTTTATGTGTAGCTGTTTAATCCTCTTTGTAGATCCCTTTACCTGATGAGAGCACTCACAAGTTGAGGTATTGCTGCATTTATTATTGTCGTTGTTGTTAATGTCAGTCCTTGTTAGACTGGTTGAAGTAATGGGTAATAGGATTGTTGATTTGCATTCAAGAGATAAACCAGTAGCTGAGCTACTGTCTCAGAAACTGTACAGGATAGAGGTCAGTGGTGACATAGTGTACATCCCTTACGTGATATTACCATTAAAGGAAGTAAGACCTGAGGAGTTATCATTGTCCATTGGTGAAGCATTAGTGCCAGTTGCTCACTTTCATAAAGTAATGATTATAACATTAACACAGTTCTATGATTAATGGACACTCTTTGATTAGGTGCCACACAACACATTTGGAGTTCCTTTCTTATTAACTATTAGAAATGTAATGTTTATTGTTATTGTTAGTATTAATTACTGTTGTTTAGGGCGAATTGTTGTCATCAGTTAAAGGAAAAATACAAAAGTTACTTGACATTAATGACAAAGACCTTGACAAGGTATTTTGTACATGTATATGTGCGTTGGTAGATATCTCCTTTAGTGGAAGTATTACATTGTTACCAGCACAGCAACACACTCTCTCCTCCCTGAAGGTACAGTCATACATCATCATCATCATCATCATCATCATTATTACAGAGACTGATCCACCACTGTATCTTGAGCAGTTTAACCTCTCACCGGTTGATGGTTAGATTATATTCATTAGTAAGTAATGATGCTCTTTTTAGGTGTCTACTTTTCAAAGGCAGGTACACCTTGGCTTGGAGTAGAGCATTTCAATAAAAGTCCAAAGAGATCCAGATACAATATTGAAAGAGCTATCAAGATTCATAATTAACTAGCTTTCCCTACTCCTTTCTATTGTTATATAATGTGGCGGATTCAGTTATGTTTCTAACTTTAGATTTGTATTATTAATGGTCTGTGTAGTACAGTTGGTACCCAACTACCCATTGCTGGCTGTCTTGAGTAAGTAACTTTCTATGCATGCTCAGATCCACTGTACTTGATTTGATAGCACAGGATTAATACCTGTAAGCACTTGATGTTATGAAATCTCAGATCCTACTCAATCTTGTTTTTATAATTTTTTAGTCCATGGTTTCTCCAAAAAATCACTCCAAATTTTTATTACATTTTCTGATACATATTGATGTCCTTATGCTGTGTAGAAAGATTTAGCTGATTCCTATCAAGTTTGGATTTTCTATGATTTTTTAATTTGCTCAAAAATCGGACAAAAGTCCCTGTACTATAGTACAGGGATTTTTCAAAAATTTCACAAAAATTGACAAGCAGAAAATTCCTCAATTTTATTACATTTCCTGATGTATATACATGTACTTATGTAGTGTAGAGAGATTGAGCTGATTCTGATCAAGTTTGGATTTTCTATGATTTTTTAATTTGCTCAAAAATTGGACGAAAGTCCCTGTACTATAGTACAAGGATTATTGTAAAATTTCACAAAAATTTGACAAGTAGAAAATTCCTCAATTTTATTACATTTCCAGATGCATATACATGTACTTATGCAGTGTTGAGAGATTGAGCAGATTTCGATCAAGTTTAGATTTTCTATGATTTTTTGAAGTTGCTCAAAAATTGGACAAGAGTCCCTGTACTATAGTACAAGGATTATTGTAAAATTTCACAAAAATTTGACAAGTAGAAAATTCCTCAATTTTATTACATTTCCAGATGCATATACATGTACTTATGCAGTGTTGAGAGATTGAGCAGATTTCGATCAAGTTTAGATTTTCTATGATTTTTTGAAGTTGCTCAAAAATTGGACAAGAGTCCCTGTACTATAGTACAGGGATTTTTCAAAAATTTCACAACAAGTGACAAATAGAAAATTCCTCAATTTTATTACATTTCCTGATGCATATACATGTACTTATGCAGTGTAGAGAGATTGAGCAGATTCCGATCAAGTTTGGATTTTCTATGATTTTTTAAAGTTGCTCCAAATTCAGACAAAAGTCCCTGTACTATAGTACAGGGATTTTTCCAAAATTTCACAAAAATTGACAAGTAGAAAATTCCTCAATTTTATTACATTTCCTGATGCATATACATGTACTTATGCAGTGTAGAGAGATTGAGCAGATTCCGATCAAGTTTGGATTTTCTATGATTTTTTAAAGTTGCTCCAAATTCAGACAAAAGTCCCTGTACTATAGTACAGGGATTTTTGTAAAATTTGACAAAAATTGACAAGTAGAAAATTCCTCAATTTTATTACATTTCCTGATGCATATACATGTACTTATGCAGTGTAGAGAGATTGAGCAGATTCCGATCAAGTTTGGATTTTCTATGATTTTTTAAAGTTGCTCCAAATTCAGACAAAAGTCCCTGTACTATAGTACAGGGATTTTTCCAAAATTTCACAAAAATTGACAAGTAAAAAGTTTCTCGATTTTATTACATTTTCTGATGCATATACATGTACTTATGCTGTGTAGAGAGATTGAACAGATTCTGATCAAGTTTGGATTTTCTATGATTTTTTCAAGTTGCTTCAAAATC